CAAATGCATTTTACCCGCCTCCCCATCCTCTTCCTCTCCTCTTTCAGATCTCCGCCTGCAGCTGCTGGACGTGAAGAACAACCCCTACCTGATCAAGGCTCTCTACGGCTTGCTGATGCTGCTGCCCCAGAGCAGCGCCTTCCAGCTCCTCTCCCACCGCCTGCAGTGCGTGCCCAACCCCGAGCTCATGCAGACCGCGTAAGTGCCGCGGGGACGGACCCCCGGCATCGGCACCGGGGCCGGACCAGCCGCCCCCCCAGCGTGGCCGAGCATCCCCACCATCCCGGGTTCTGGCTTTCACCCCCCCTGGCTCCTTTGTGGCCGAGGCTGCTCCTTGCCCCATGGCCGGGAGCTTTGGCTGGGGAGGGGGGGGGGGGGGGGTGTGTGTGTCTATATTTGGTAACCCTGGGAGGGCTGTGCCTCATCCACAGGCATTTGGCATCCGGGATGGAAAATTTCACTTGTGGGGTCGCTATGGAAACGAGCAGAGCTGGGAAGGAGGTTTATGGAGAGAGACTCCGGCAGCCGAGGAGTGCTCCCAAAGCATCCCACCCCACCCCTCGGCTCGGACAGCCTTCACAGCACCCAGAAGGACCCTGTCACCCACGCACGCCTGGGGCTGGCTGCTCCATCCCCACCCCTGCCCCTCGGGGAGCCCCGAGCAGCCACGGGGAAGGGCGGGCATCTCCCTGGGGACCAGCCGAAATCCTGGGGGTGGTGCCCGCCTGACTCGTTAAGACACGGGCGGTGGGATTTGCTCTCCAGCCCTCGGCTAACGAGCAGGGGGAGTTGATGATAAAGCCGGCTCTGCCTTTTCGAAACCCTGGGAACAAAAAGAAGAGCTCCCAAGATGGGCAGGTTTCTCAATTAACCCCCCACCGCCGCCACTCCTTGGCTTTTAGCTGCTCCCCTCGGCTGGCTTTTATCCCTCGTGGCCTCTGGCTCTGAGCTCGTACCCACAACCCGGCACTGATTTTAATTGAGGGGGGCTGCATGTGCTTCTCCCCGCCTTTTTTCCCCCCCCAGCCCCGGCAGCCGGGGGGGTTTTCCAGCAACCAGAGCTGTCAGACGGCCTGAGCATCTGATTAACTCTGACCTACATTCCTTCAAACACCGAAGCCGGCTTTCATAACAGGCCAGCCCCAGCTGCCCCTCCCCGGGGGGATGCCGGGCTCCCCCACCCTCCCGTGGGCTCCCCCGTGTCCCTCGATGGGCAGCCTGTGGCCGGTCCCCCCGCTGCCTTGCGTGGGGACAACCCTGGGGGATGAGCACCCACGGCCGGAGCCACGAGGAGCCTGCAAATGGGCTTCCCTCAGCCCCATGCGTGGGCTTTCCGGGGCTCCGGCCGTGGGTGCTCATCCCCCAGGCTTGTCCCCACTGTCGCCAGCCCTCCTCTGTGCCCAAGCACACGGATAGTTTTTGCTCGCTTATAAAACCAGGTGGGGAAACTGAGGCACATGGTGGTGGCATCCCTTCCGGCCAGTCTCGCTGTTTTTGGCTGGAATGGGTTGGGACAGGGGGGAGCATCCACTTTGGCAAGGTTGAACCTCCCCTGTGGGGCCAGGGTGCTGAGGCGGATGTCCCTTGTCCCCTCTTTCTTGTCCCAGGACTCCTTGGGCTCCATCTTACGGTTTTGGAGGACAGAAACAGGTCTTTGGGGGTGTTTCGTGGGGCACCAGGCTGGGCTGTGCTCAGCTTCTTCAGGACTTGGTGCTGCCTGTGGTGGAGGCCCCGGGTACCGGCACCTCCTGCCCCATCCTGCCCTTACCCTCTGCTCCCTCCCCGCAGGGACAGCACCAAACCGAGCGCCGGCTTCAAGAGGGCGTCAGCCTCCAACATCGACTACACGGAGCTGCTGCAACACTTTGAGAAGGTCCAAAACAAGCACCTGGAGGCGCGACACCAGCGAGCCGGGCGGGCGGAGCAGCTGGACCGGCGGGTGGTCCTCTGAGCATCCCCCGCGGCAGCACGTGGGTGCGCACGGTCGCTGGGGCCGGGACCAGGGGACGGGGACACCGGTTGCTGGCCGCCGGAGGATCTGGTGGGTTTAATGGCAGAGGGAGACGGGCGAGCGCTCGGCACGGGGTTGGTTTTCCTCCCCGCTGTGCATGTGGATGGTGGGGGACACCCCCCCCCCCCCCGCCCCAGGCTGTGCCCGGCTTCTCCCGTTGGGCGATGCGGGGACGTGGGGAACGGTTGCAGGAGGAGAGGGCTGGGGGGAAAGCGCCTCGTCTTCTCTTGCACTAGGGCGAGGAAACTCCCCTTTGCTTTGCTAATGCCTTCCCCGTGACTGTCAGCTGAGCGCCCAGCCTCCTGCCAGCAAGACCAGAGGGGAAGGGAAGACGGGAGCAACCCCTGGCCTCTCGCCCTGGAAAACAAGGACGCGGGGCCGCCGGCTGCCTCTCGCCACCCCGACTTCCACCCTCCGGCTCTGAGGCCGTGCCCGAGGCAGCCGGCAGCATCTCACCCAGGGACTCAGGCTCCTGTGCGTGGCACTCGGCCCCCTCCCCGTGTCCGCACACCCTCCCCAAGCCCCCAGCTCTTGGCACGGACGGCGGCGAAGCCTCATCTCCCAGCCGGCACCGGGGGGGGACACGGAGGGTGGCAGAGACTCCTATCACACCCAGCTCCGGACTCTTTGATCCTACGTTAAGCTCCCCATGATAAAATAAACAAGCGATGCAGAGCAGCCCATTTCTGGTAGCTGGGCTCCCCGTCCTCGTGGATCCGGCCCCAAGGGGAGCCAAAAACCCGGCAAGGGCAGGGGGTGGCATTGAGCATCTTGCTCGACCCCCGAGCCTCGGGCTGGCCCAGCCCTGCCACGTTGGCTCGCCGGCGAGCAGGGCTTCTCCGCCTGCTCCTCTTTCCCAGCGGGGGAAAAAAAAAAAAAAAAAAACAAAAAAACCAAAAAAACGCCGAAATTCTTCCAGGCCACGGTCACAAAACCGCAGCGCGGTGACAGACATTTTCCTGGCCCGGGGCAGCCGCCGGCGCTGCCTTCGCCCCGTCCCGCGGTGCTGAGGGACCGTCGCTGCCGGTGCTGCGGCTCAGGGCGCTGCCGTTGCATCCCCGGCGTGTTTCAGGCCCTCACCTGATCCCGGGGAAAGGGGGCCGAGGGGCAGGGGGGTGCCGGAGGAATTTGTGGACTTTTTATGGCTCCTGGCTTGTTTACAGTAGAGCCGGGCTCTGGCAGCGGGTTCCCCCAACAGCCCCGCACCGGCGCTGCTTTGGCCGGGATAAAGACATTCCTGTCATTCCCGGGAAAGAGCTTTCCAAACCCGGTCACGGCGGGTTAATTTGAACGGCCAACCCTTCGGGCTGGGCAAGCGATGGCTTCCCAAGCCTGCCAACCGCTCAGGGTGACGGCGGTGTCCCTCTTGCCTGTCCCCAACCACAGCCGGGTCGTTACTGGCGGGGGCCGGGGCTGCTGCCGCCGGCCCCGGGGCTCTGCCCGTCGCTCCTGCCGGGCTCCCCGCCACCGAGCGGCCTCTTTCCATGCCGAGGGACGAGGTTTATGGGGAGAAATTCCAGCCAGCCGCCGGAGCGCCGAGCCGTAATCGTTTCCTTATGGGTGGCTCTTGACCAGCCCCGGCCAGAGCAGCGCGGTGCCGCCGGGGCATCGCCGGCGGGGGATCGGGGCTGTTTTTCCAGCAGGAGGGGGAACGGGCAGCTCAGGCTGAGCCCTGAGCCCCAGCTGAGCATCGTTTCACCGCGAGGTGCGGCGAGGTCCGTCGGGGCTCAGCCCGGTGCCCCCCAGATCCCGGGAGGGTGGGGATGGGGGCCTCGGGATGGCTACAGGGAAGGGCTCGTCTGCTGGCAGGCTGCGCGTTTCCCATGGTAATCTAGTGCCCTAAACCATTTCAGAGCTGCCATATAACCACCCGGGGGGGGGGGGGGGGGTGTTAAACTTCGGCGCCCAGGCGGTTGCTCGCAGCGCACCCCATCGAGCCCTTTCCCTGGGTAAGGAAGGCAGAGGGGGGGGGCAAACAACCCCTGGAGGGAGGCTGAATGGAGCATCCCCCCCACCTGCACCTCCAGGGCTCCGGGGCTGCCCCCGAGCATCCTGCAGCGGGTCCCGATGCCCATCCTAGGCCCCGGCATCCCCACATGCACCCCCGGGGCTCTCCCTCTCCCCACCCAACACCCCAAAAGCATCCCTTGGGGCTCCTCCGCTGCCCTGTCAGCAATCCCCGGTGCTACCCCCGCCGGCGCGGCTGCACCCCAGCCCCACCATCCCCCAAGCAGCCCTCGGGGCTCCCTCCACCGCACCTCTGGGGCTACCTGGAGCTACTCCCTGACCCCCCCCCCGCCCCCTTTCAGCATCTCCCAGAGCCTCCCCGAGCACCACCGGGCCTGCCCCCACCCCCGGCAGCCCTGCGCATCCTCCGGGTGCCCGCTGCTGCGCCCCCCCCGGGGGTTTCCACCGAGCATCATCCCCCCCCCCCCCACCTCAGCCCCCTTCTCATCCCCCCGCCCCGCGGCGGGCGGCGCATGTGCCGCGCAGATCCCGCCCCGCTCCGCCCAGCCCCCCCCCCCCCCACACACACACCCACCCCCCCACGCACACACACCCCACACCCCCCCCGCCCCGGGTGCCGCCGCTCTCCGCGCCCCCGCTCCGCGCCCCTCCGCGCTCCGCTCCGCTGCCAAAGCGGGGGGGTGGGTGGGGGGGGGTGGTGGTGGTGGTGGTGTGGGTGTGGGTTGCTCCGCTCAGCTCAGCCCCCCGCGGGAAGGAAAGAAGGAAGGAAGGAGGAAGGAAGGAGGAAGGAAGGAGGAAGGAAGGAGGGAAGGAAAGAAAGAGGAAGGAAGGAAGGAAGGAGGAAGGAAGGAAAGAAGGAGGAAGGAAGGAAAGAAGGAGGAAGGAAGGAAAGAAGGAGGAAGGAAGGAAGGAAGGAGGAAGGAAGGAAGGAAGGAAGGAAGGAAGGGGGGCGATGCACCGCGCCGCGCCCCGCCCGGCCCCCCCGCCGCTCCGCCGCCCCGCCGCCGCCCGGCCGCCGCCCGCCCCCCGCCGCCGCTGAGCCTGGCCCGCCGCCGCGGCCTCCCCCGGCGGCGCCGCCCGCCCCGGGCTGCCGCAGCGCCGAGATGGAGACGGCGGAGAAGGAGTGCGGAGCCCTCGGCGGCCTCTTCCAAGCCATCATCAACGACATGAAGGTAGGGACGACCCCCCCCCCCCCACGCACACACACACACCCCCCTCCGCCTCCCCGCCTCAGCCCCGTTCTGCTGCCGTGACAGCGCTCCCCCCCCCCCCGCTCCGTGTAGGCACGGAGCCGGTCGGCATCGGGTACCGGGGTTCTGGTGCCCAGCGCCGAGCTGGGTATCGGAACCCCACATCATCCCCGCCGCGGGTGGAGGGGTCCCACATCGGGTGGCAGAGCGCTGGCACTGGGTGCCGGACCCCCCCCCGCCCCATCCTGGGCGTGCGGACCCCATGCTGCCCCATATCAGCCCCCCATATCCGTCTCTGGGTATCGCAGCCCCCATGCCGGGTATGGCAGGCCCATATCAGCCCCGTATCCATCATCGGGTATCGGGAGCTCCGTGTTGGGCATTGGGACCCCACGCCGGGTGTCAGAGCCTGGCACCGGGTGCCAGACCCCCCCCCCCACACCAGCCCCATACTGGGCATGAGGGCCCCGGTGTTGGGCATCAGACCCCATGCTGGGGGTCTCAGCCCCGTATCCATCCCTGGGTATGGCAGGCCCATATCAGCTCCGTATCCATCCTGGGGTATCGGAGCTCCATGTTGAGTATTGGGGTCCCACATCGGGTGTCAGAGCCCGGCACCGGGTGCCGGAGCCCCACGTCAACCCCATATCGGGCATCGGGGCCCTGCCATGGGCATCGGACCCCATGCTGGGCGTTAGCAGCCCCGTATCTGTCCCTGGGTACTGCAACCCCATGTCGGGGATCGGAGCCCCACATCAGCCCCCGAATCCATCCCCGAGTATCGGAGCCCCGTGTCGGGTATCACAGACCGGGCATCGCTGCCCCCACGTCGGGTACCGCCGGCCCCTCATCGGGCATCGCTGCCCGTTTCGGGTATCGCGTTGCCCCTGCCACCCCCTTGGATTTCTGCCGGACCCGCTTGGGTTTGCACCAATGGAACAAAAAGGTCGCCCCCCCCCACCCCCGGCTCCTCAATCCCATTTCCCAACCCAGGGAGGGGACATCGCCTCCACCCTCCCTGGGAGCAGGATGGGGCCATGGTTTTTTTTTTTTTTTTTAAAAAAAAAAGCCTTTTTGTTTGTTTGTTTTCATTTAAAAAAAAAAAATGCTGGGGGGTATTTTTGCCTGGGGGCTGAGCGGGGAGGAGGGGACCTGCCGGTTTCTTCATGTCAGGGGGGGTAGGGGGGGCTGAAATTCCCACTGCCAGCTCCAGTGTTGGGGTTTAGCCCCAGTTGGTTTTGGGAAGCAAAAGCTCTCTTCCTCCTCCTCCTCCTCTTCCTCTCTTCTTGCTGCAGCCCAGTCCAGACAATGCTGTCATTGCCAAAGCAGGGGAGGGGGGGATAAAAAAAAAAAAAAAAAAAAAAATAAAAGCCTTGCTGAGGAGATTAACCCCTTCAAGGGGCGGTGGTGGCTCCTCTGGCTTGGGGCTGGGAGAAAAGCCCTCAAGGGAAAAATTCCGGCTCTCTCCCAGCGCTGGCCCCAGGGTGGTGGGAGCCAGGGCTGGCAGGGATGGGTGCCGGGGTGATCAGCCCCCCCCCCCAGATGCCTTCAGCCCCACTGCCTTCTCCTGGCAGCCTGGCTGAGCCCAGGGTGGGGGTGGGAGCAGCCCGTGCCTCAGTTTCCCCATTCCCCCCCCACCCCGCTGAGGCTGCGGAGGGGATGAGCCAGCCCAGAGCCGGAGCCGTCACCTCCCCGGTGGGTGCCAGCGCGGCCACGAAGCAGCTCGCCCAGCCCCATCGGGACATTTTTGGGACGGGAGCCCCTCACTGTGGCGTCACGCACCAGCGTGCCCGAGGCAACCGGGCTGGATTCATTCTCATGCCGTTTGTAGGTGGGAAAGATGAGGGGAGGAAAAAAAACCAAACCAAACCAAAACAATAACAAAAAAAAAAAAAAAAAAAGAATAAAAGAGAACTAAAAAATCCCCACCACGCTCAGCTCATACCCTGCACAGCCCCGGCCTGGCGCCTAAGGGTGCATCGTCCCCGTCCCTGTCCCCATCTCCCAGCCACGTGGGTGTCCTGGCGCTGGGGGATGAGGAAAAATAATCCCCTGTCCCAGCATTCAACGGCAGCGATGGGCTTGGGGTCCCACAGCCGGGCCCCCTGTGCTGAGCACGGGCGCGAGGGGGACCTTATTTTGGTGGCGGGTGGCTTTTCGGCACCCCTCGGCCTGCGGCGGGGAGGGATGCGGGCAGCAAACCCTGGGGGCAAAACCCATGTGCCCCCGAGCCAGCTTCGTTCCTCTTGCCTCTCTTCCAGCCTGCTCGGCGGCCCTGGCTGACCTTGGCATGTCCTTGTCCCCGTTGTCCTCGTCCCCATCCTCCTCCTCCCGCCTGGCACCGCGGGGGGGGGGCTGGGGGCATCGCAACCCGCCTCCTCGTTTGGGGGGAGCCTCCACTCGCCCTGCCCCGGGGTGGCCGGGGAAAGGTGGCCCTGCCCCTCAGCAATAACAGTCCCCGGGGACTCACAGCCCTGAGCCAGGACGCTGCCACAGGTGCCACACGAAGTGGCATCCTCAAACCCCTTCTTTGCTGACTCAGGAGGAAAATGAGGCTTTCGGGGTCCCCAGAAAACAACGCTGGGGTGGCCCCGTCCCCCCTCAGTGCAAACTTTGTCCCCAGAGGTGCCACCGAGCTGGGCTCGTGGGGATTTGCAGCCACCCGTGTCCCGCAAAGCCAGCTCCGGTGCCCACGTCCCAGCCTGGTGGCCACCCTAAGGGAGTTCGCGAGCCCCCGTGGTGGCACCAGCCGTGGCCTTGCTGGGACTGGCCTCACTGGGATGGCAGCACCAGCGCATGGCTGCGCAAGGGATGGGGGCACCAGGACTGGCCTCCCTGGGACGGTGGCACTGGGACCAGCCTTTGCTGGGATGGCACCAGGACTGGCCTCCCTGGGACGGTGGCACTGGGACCAGCCTTGCTGGGATGGCACCAGGACTGGCCTCCCTGGGACGGTGGCACTGGGACCAGCCTTTGCTGGGATGGCACCAGGACTGGCCTCCCTGGGACGGTGGCACTGGGACCAGCCTTGCTGGGATGGTACCAGGATGGCCTCACTGGGATGGTGGCACTGGGACCAGCCTTTGCTGGGACGGTGGCACTGGGACCAGCCTTGCTGGGATGGCACCAGGATGGCCTCCCTGGGACGGTGGCACTGGGACCAGCCTTTGCTGGGACGGTGGCACTGGGACCAGCCTTTGCTGGGATGGCACCAGGACTGGCCTCCCTGGGACGGTGGCACTGGGACCAGCCTTTGCTGGGATGGCACCAGGACTGGCCTCCCTGGGACGGTGGCACTGGGACCAGCCTTGCTGGGATGGCACCAGGACTGGCCTCCCTGGGATGGTGGCACTGGGACCAGCCTTGCTGGGATGGCACCAGGATGGCCTCACTGGGACGGTGGCACTGGGACGGCACCGGGATTAACCTCGCCAGGACAACACTGACTGGCCTCGCTGGGATGGTGGCACTGGGATGGCCTCGCTGTGTGGTGGCACCAGGATTAGCCTTGCTGGGACGGCACCAGGACTGGCCTTGCTGCAATGGCACCGGAGCAGGCGTATTACTGGGACTGGCCTTGCTGGGATGGCACCAGGAGGGTTTTACTGGGACTGGTATCTCCAAGACACCACTGGGACCGGTCTTGTCCGGGGTTGGTTGGCCTCACTGGGACACCACTGAGATGGCCACATCGGGACGGTGGCACTGGGACAGTGCTGGGATGGCCTCGCTGGGATGGTAGCGCCAGGACAGCCCTGGGATGGCCTCACCACGAAGGCACTGGGACTGGTCTTGCTGGGATGGCCTCGCCTGGATGGCCTCAGGACCACCTGGCCGGGATGGCGCTGGGGGGACCTCCCCAGCTCCTTGTCCCCACGCAACTCCCTCATTTGGGGTGGGGGGGGGACCCCAGATCTTCCTTCCCTCCTGCCCCGTTGGTCCTCATGGGCTTGGGGGAGCCGGGGATTGGGGCTACCCCCTGCGGAGCTGGAGCCCCCCCCGTGAGGGTGGGTATGGCTGGGGGGCTCTGTTCTGCTGCTGGCCAGGGTCTCAAATCTCACCAGCTTCTTTCCTCCCCTCAAATTTCCAAACCCAAAAGCTGCCTTGGCCCCTTTGAGGAAGAGATCACCCAAAACCCTGAGGACTCAATGGTCTGAGAGGTCATGAGGCCAGACTGGAAAGGGAAAAGACCCAGGAGGGAAAAAGGGTTGTGCTCAGCCTTTATTAGCCATCAGAGAAGCCACACCTAGCCAGGCACAGCCACCGAACTGCTCTGTCTCTCTGTAACGGTGAAGGGGGGATTTGCTCTGCCCGGGAAGGGGGTTCAGGGGGGCGAGGGGCTCCGGCTGTCACTGTCCCTTCCCTCCTTGCAGAGCTCCTACCCCATCTGGGAGGATTTCAACTCAAAGGCCACCAAGCTGCACTCCCAGCTCAGGTGAGTGGCTGGGGGGGGGGCAGGGGGTGAATTGGGGGGGGACCATCCTGGGGTGCCCAGCACTGAGCTCCCCCCTCGCTCTCCCCGCCCCAGGACCACGGTGCTGGCCGCAGTCGCCTTCCTGGATGCCTTCCAGAAAGTGGCCGACATGGCCACCAACACCCGAGGTAAGGGTGGGTGTCCCCGGGAGTGGGGGGGGAGTGTCCCCTGTGGGGTGTCCCCTCCCCAACGGGAACGGGGTGGGCTTCACGCAGCAGCTCCACCCGTCCGTGGAGGCATCCCCGAACTGCCCCCCCCATCCCGAGGCGGAGCATCCCCTGGGAAACAGGGTTGGAAAGATGGGGTGCAGTGGGTGGGGGTGGGCACCCACGTGGGTGCTGCTCCTCGGCGCCCCCCCCTCCCCGTGGGTACTTAGCCAGCATCTGTTTGTGGAGCTGTTTGCTTATGGGGAGATTTGGGGGTGACACAACCCTGTGCCATGGTCCCCTGTTCCCATCTCTTCCCCCTCCCTCCCCCCAATCTGGGATGCACCCAGATATGGGGTGCGCTACCCCCTCATTCCCTGACCCCACCTGGGGGGTGCTGGGGGGGTCCTGCCTGCTCCAGAGGTGGGGGGGGGGGGGGGCGATGAGATGGAGGGAGAAGATGCAGGAGCCCACGTTCGACTACTTCGGGGACAAACCCCAACGTGAAGAGCTGAGGCTGCAGGGGGGGACCCCCCCCCAGTGCCGCTATGGGGGGGGCTGGAGGTGGGGGGGCACCTCTGGACCCTCTCCGGGTGCCTGCTGACGGCGAGGAGCCGCTTCCCACCGCTCGGCTTCTGCCAAGCAGATGGTCCCGGGCTGGTTTGCAGACTGGCGGCATCCAGGCCATCTGGAGCTGCGCGGGGAGGAAGAGGAGGAGGAGGAGGAGGAGGAGGAGGCAGCAGCTTGAGCCAGGATCAGCTTTGCCTCCAAACCCACTGGCCCACTGCACCCGGGGGGGGATTAGGGCTCCCCCCTCCAGCCCTGGCACCAAAAGCCAGGCAGGGGGGACACAGAGGGGATGCGGGCGACGACGGGGATCGTCACCACGGGCCACCCGGCGCTGGGCGGTGGCGTCTCGGGGACATGGTTGCTTTTTTTTGGGCGGGGAGGGAGCGGGAAGCAGAGAGGTGGCGTGGGGAAACTGAGGCGCAGGGCACTGGGTGGGGGCCAGCTGGCGGCCTCGCACGAGGCACGTGGGCGCGCGGGGAATCGGATTAGGAACAGCAGGAGCCGGGATTAGGAGCGGGATTAGGGGAACGCTCCCGGCAGAGGAGGAGGAGGCCCTCAGCCCATGGGCTCCCCCATTTCTGCAGCACGGCGGGGTGTCCAAAACTGTGTGGGAATTGTCTCTGGAGGATTTTTTTGAGGAGAAAAAGGCAGAATGTCCCTCCGTAGCCTGCACCTGAAGCTGTGGGGTTGCTGCTTTTCCTGGGATTTGCCAGCAGCACTGCCACCATGTGGCCATCCTTAGGCTTCAGAGTTAACAGTGGCTTCACCAAAAAAAGGATGCTCCTGCTTTCCGTTGCCGGCCAGTATCCCTGCAGGGAGCTCCGACTCCCTTTCTATACACTCGGGATCGTGCCTGGAGGTGGGGGACACGCAGAGCCGGGGAGGGAAGCCGGTCCCGGAGCTGTTTGCTCCAGCAGGCCGGTTTCTCGGTCCGTGACCAGCTGGCTGTGTGGTGCCTTGCCCCCTGTTTGGCCCCAGTGCCGGATTGGAGACAAACTGAGAAAAAACAGGAGCAGGTTTTCATTTTGAAGCCGCAGGAAGGGATATTTAATGCTTTATTTATTAATTAGTGGCTGTTGATTTATTTATTTAGTGGGTTTCTCGGGGCGGGGGGGGGGTAGAAAGCAAGCCACTCCAACACAAAGTGTCCCCAAAACCCAGCGCATCCCAGTGCTGGTCATCCCCACCGCGAGCCAGCCTGGTGTCCCAGTATACAAACCGGGCTGGGACTGGTGTTGGGGTGTCCCCTGCCCCGCGGCAGCGGCGTTCTGCTCCCCCCCATCCAGGTGCCACGAGGGACATCGGCTCCGCGCTGACCCGCATGTGCATGAGGCACCGCAGCATCGAGGCCAAGCTCCGGCAGTTCACCAAGTAAGCGTGCCCAGGGCATCGGTGACACGAGTTGGCCGGGCTCAGCCTTTCCTCTCTGAAGAAGGAGCTGGATGCTGGCTGTCGGCTGAGCCTGGAGGGGAGGGGGGGGGCAGGGGGGGGAGCACCTCTCCCCACCCTCCTCCGTCGCTCTCCCATGCTCTCTGCTTCTCTCTCCCTGCTCCAGCGCCCTCATGGAGAGCCTGATAAACCCTTTGCAGGACAGGATTGAGGACTGGAAGAAAACTGCCAACCAGCTCGACAAGGACCACGCGAAAGGTACGGCCGGGCCGCGCTGGATCCGCACTGGGGGGCTGTGCCAGTCGGCAGGGGGGGGTGGGTGTCCCCTCTGACAGCACTTCTGTGCCCCCAGAGTACAAGCGAGCCCGCCACGAGATCAAGAAAAAATCCTCCGACACCCTCAAGCTCCAGAAAAAAGCTCGCAAGGGTAAGGAGAGGGGGGGGGGAGTGTCTCCTGGGGAGGGGTTGGGGACCCCCGCCAGCCCCTCTGCAGCACCCCAGGCTGGGGTGGGCATCCCGGATGGGGCACCCCGCCTGCCTCCCATGGATGGTGGGCACCTGGGGGGGTTCCTGCTGCCACGCACACACACACCCCCCCTCGCAGAAAAGGGGGTGCCATCATGGCCCGGGGCGGGGGGGATGGTGGGGAGGTGGGGGCGTGCACCCCGGCCCTCGGCCTCTTTTCACACGTTTTCTCTGTCTCCTTCTCTCTTCCCTCCCCTCCACATCCTTCCTGTAGAGCTACTTGGTAAGTGAACCGCTGGCCCCCCCACCCCGGCCCCCTCTCTGCTTCCTCATCTGCTCCCCCCTGGTCACCCCCGGGGCCGGGGTTCCTTCCGTCCGTCTGTCCATCCGCTCCCTGTGCCCCTGCCCCCCCCCCCCCCGGCCCCGCCGCCCTGCTTTTAGCTTAGCTTAGCTTGCACCCCGCACCCCGGGGTGATGCCAGCCCCGCCGCGGTGGCACCCCGGCGGGTCCCCTGGTGCCACATGCCAGGGAAGGGGACGGGGTGGCAGAGAAGCCCCAACCCCCCCGGGGGCTGCCATGAGGTGAGGGGTGCTCCTGGGGTACGGACACGGGGGGACCCGTGGCACCCCCCGCCCTGGGATGTGCGGATGGGGTGATGTCTCCCAGCCAGAGCCTGGGGGTGGCCTTGGCTTGGCCGTGGGACCCCCAGCAGGTTGGGGGGGAGGGGGGGAGGGGGGTTGTTGGGGGGGCCCGGCAGTGATGGTACCCCGTCTCGCAGGGAAGGGGGACCTGCAGCCCCAGCTGGACAACGCGCTGCAGGACGTCAACGACATGTACCTGCTGCTGGAGGAGACGGAGAAGCAGGCGGTCCGCAAAGCCCTCATCGAGGAGCGGGGTCGCTTCTGCACCTTCATCACCTTCCTGCAGCCCGTGGTGGTGAGCCCCCCCGCGGGGCCGGGAGGGGGCTGGGGGGGGGGGGGGGGGGCGCGGCAAGGGGTGGGGGGAAATGTCACCGTGGCCTGACGGGTGCTGATGCTTCTCCCCCCGCCTTGTGTGGCCGCAGAACGGGGAGCTCACCATGCTGGGAGAGATCACCCACCTGCAGGGCATCATCGAGGACCTGGTGGTGCTCACCGCCGAGCCCCACAAGCTGCCCCCCGCCAGCGAGCAGGTTAGTGGGGGGAGGCTGGGATGGGGCAGGGATGGGGGGGGGGGGGCAGGGAGCATCTTCAGGGAGGCTTAAACCCCATCCTTCCCACAGGTGATCAAGGACCTGAAGGGCTCTGACTACAGCTGGTCCTACCAGACCCCCCCATCCTCACCCAGCAGCTCCAGCTCCCGCAAGTCCAGCATGTGCAGGTAGGGTGGGGGGGTGGGCTCCACGCCTCGCCGCCCCCCACCCCCCTTCGTTAACCCCAGGGGGCTTAATGATGCTTAATGACCCCCGGGGACGCTCCAGGAGGCTCGTATCCACCTCCACGTGGCCGGCTGGTCCCCAGTGACGTGGAGGAACTGGTCTCGGCTCACTGGGATGGGGGGCAGGGGGCAGGGCTGGTGGACCTGTGGGGCGGGACGGGCGCCTGGCACGTGCCCCGTCCTTTGGGTTTGGGGGGACGATGTGAGCTGTGCAAGGGGGGTCGGGGGGCAAACATGTCACCTTTGCTATCTTCCCCAGCCTGTCCCCTGCCACTGGGGAACCCCAGAAGGGAAAGGGACACCCCGGGAGGACCGCGTGCCTCAGTTTCCCCAGGTTGGGGTGCGGGACCGGGTGCTGAGCTTGCTGCCTGCGGACCCCGCCGCCTCCGAACCTCCGTTCTTAAACTCTCTTTTCCTTCCTTTGTCCTCCCCGCCGGCGTGTCCCCGTCCCCCCCCGGCGGCCCCCCAGCAGCGTTAGCAGTGCCAAGGGTGGCATGGCGTGGCCCGGCGGGGCTCAGACCTGCTCACCCAGTTCCACCTATCGCTACCGCAGCCTGGCGCAGCCCCCCGCCGCCGCCACCCGCCTCTCCAGCGTCTCCTCCCACGACTCCGGCTTCATCTCCCAGGACGCCACTTACTCCAAACCGCCTTCCCCCATGCCCTCGGACATCACCAGCCAGGTACGGGGCGGGGGGGGGGAGGTTTCAGCGCCCCCCCACCCCCGTGCCTCAGCATTCCCTTCTGTAGAATGGGTGCATGCCGCTCGGTGCAACACAAGCATCCGACGCGGAGGTGATGGGACTCCCCCCTGAGTTTCCAGCAGTGTGGGCACCACGGGAGATAAATATTGGGAACATTGAGGGTGTCCACCCTGCTGAGGGGCGCCCTGGGCCACACTGCAGAGAAACCCCATCTGTGACCCCCCCACCCCCCACCCGGGTCAAGATCCTGCTCGCCTGCCCGCATCTGCTGCTGGGGAAGCTGGGGAGGGGGTTGCTCCGCGCCGGGGCCGTGGCTGTGCTCGCTAACCGCCTCTTCTCTGCCCCTCGGGCTGGCGGCGCGGCCTCCCGGCGCCCAGAAGTCCTCCAGCTCGGCGTCCTCGGAGGCCTCCGAAACCTGCCAGTCCGTCAGCGAGTGCAGCTCCCCCACCTCGGTTAGTTCTCGCTCCGCCGCCGGGGCACGGCCGGGTGGTGGAAAGGTGAAGCCTTCAGCAAGCGGCGCCCTCCTCTTCCTCTCCTCCCCTTCCCTGGCTCTGTCCCCCCCGCCCGCGTTTCACCCCTGGGTTCACCCCTCAGATCCCACCCCGCCACGGGGTGCGGCCGTTGCTGGGGGTTAAGGTGGGGTGGGCGACGATGCGGCGCCCGTTGGCGCCTGCCCCCCACCCCTTCCCGCTTTCGGGTCCTGGTCCCGGTGTCCCCAGCGTCACCCCGTGCCTCGCCCGTTGCAGGACTGGTCCAAGGCCAGCCCCTACGACCAGCCGGTGGTCCCCACCCTGCAGAGGCGCAAGGACCGCGTGGAGCACCTGCGGGAAGCCGAGATGGGCTCGCCCGCCGGCGGGTACCCGGGCATCGGCGGCGAGGATGCTCCCAGGCCCCGAATGTCACCGGCCACGATTGCCGCCAAGGTACCGGCTCCGGTGGGGCGAGCGCAGAGATGGTGGGCTTTCAGGGGGGTCCCGAGAGAGGAACCAAGGTGCTGACGGTGCCCTCTCGCCCCCCCCTCTCCCGCAGCACGGGGAGGAGGTGTCCCCCGCCGCCAGCGACCTGGCCATGGTCTTGACCCGAGGGCTCAGCCTGGAGCACCAGAAGAGCAGCCGGGACTCGCTGCAGTACTCCAGCGGCTACAGCACGCAGACCACCACCCCGTCGTGCTCCGAGGACACCATCCCTTCCCAAGGTACCCTCCCCGCGACGGCAGGGGTCACCTGGGGCCACCCGCAGAGGGGAAGGGGACGGCAGACGCTTTGGTGGCCCTGGGGCACGTCTGCACGCGCTTGGCGTCGGTAGCACGGGGCTGCGGTCGCGTCGCGTGGGGGCTGGTGGGGTGAAGCTTGGACGATTGGGTGTGGTGGAGGTTCGGCGGGCAGCACGGGCGTCGTGCCATGAGGTTTCCTGGGGGTTAGTTGGGGGTTGGTTGGGTCTCGATGGCTCCGGTTGTGCCGGGCGGTGCGATAACGAGTAGCACCACGCGGAGCGTGGTCGGTGGTGGTTTGCGGTGCTGCGTTTGTGCACAGGGGTTGGGTGCGGGCAGAGACGGAGGCAGGTGGTGGGTGGTGGCAGCAGAGGTGACAGTTGGAGATCAGGGACAGTCATGTTTTGCTGTGATCACGTTGGCCGAGCTGGTTGTGAGCACGTGGTGGTGGAGTTTGGCTGTGATCACGTTGTGACAGCGGTGGTCGGGGTGTTTGTGATGGTGATGGTTGGGTTTGACTAGGACCGTGTTGGTGGTGATGGCTGAGGCCAGTTGTAATGGTCATGACTGGGGATGACTGTGATCATGTTGCGCTGGTGACCCTTGGGCTTGGTTGTGATCTCAATGGGATGGCTGGTGTGATTGTGGTCGCCTTCTGATGGTGATGGTTGAGTTTGCTTGCGGTTGCCTTCCAGTGGTGATGGTTGGGTTCACTTGTGGTTGCCTTCTGATGGTGATGGTTGGGTTTTCTTGTGGTCACCTTCTGATGGTGATGGTTGAGTTTTCTTGCTGTTGCCTTCCGGTGGTGATGGTTGGGTTCACCTGTGGTTGCCTTCTGATGGTGATGGTTGGGTTCACTTGTGGTTGCCTTCTGATGGTGATGGTTGGGTTCACTTGTGGTTGCCTTCTGATGGTGATGGTTGGGTTTTCTTGTGGTCACCTTCTGATGGTGATGGTTGAGTTTTCTTGCTGTTGCCTTCCGGTGGTGATGGTTGGGTTCACCTGTGGTTGCCTTCTGATGGTGATGGTTGGGTTCTCTTGTGGTTGCCTTCCGGTGGTGATGGTTGGGTTTTCTTGTGGTTGCCTTCCGGTGGTGATGGTTGGGTTCACCTGTGGTTGCCTTCTGATGGTTGGGCTTGATGGTGAGCACCTTGTGCCAGCAACGGTTGGAGCCAGTTGGGCTTGTTTTGCGACGGTGGCGGTTGAGTTGGTTGTGGTCGTGCTGCCACGGCGTTGGTTGGGGCTGGCTGCGATCGCATTGTGAAGATGGTGGTTGGGCTTGGCAGTGCCAGCTGGGCCCCCCCGGCCACGCTGACCGTGCTGCCCCCTCCCCAGGCTCTGACTACGACTGCTACTCGGTGAACGGCGACGTGGAGTGCGACCCCCAGAGCGACTTCGACAAGTCCTCCACCATCCCGCGCAACAGCAACATCGCCCAGAACTACCGGCGGATGATCCAGACCAAGCGTCCCGCCTCCACCGCCGGGCTGCCCACCGGCACCAACCTTCCGGCTGGCACCACCCCGGGGGTGGCCACCATCCGCCGCACGCCCTCCACCAAGCCCTCGGTCCGCCGTACCCTCTCCAATGCCGGCCCCATCCCCATCCGACCCCCCATCGTCCCCGTGAAGACCCCCACGGTGCCCGACTCCCCCGGCTACGCCGGCCCCACGCGGGTGGGCAGCGAAGAGTGTGTCTTCTACGCCGATGACGCCTCGCCGAACCCCCTGGATTTTGCCAAAGCTTCGCCCAAGAGGCTGAGCCTTCCCAACACCGCCTGGGGCGGCGGCGCCATGGAGATCTCCGTCTACCCCGGGGCCGGCCAGCACCTCTCAGCCGAGGAAGAGGAGGACCAACAGTTGGCCGCCAACCGGCACAGCTTGGTGGAGAAGATCGGCGAGCTGGTGGCCGGCGCCCACGCCCTGGGGGAAGGCCAGTTCCCCTTCCCCACCGCCCTCGCGGGGTCCGGCCCCGGCGAGGAGACCCCCGCGCCCCCCCCGGCCGCCTCCATGGACCCCCCGGCCGAAGACATGCTGGTGGCCATCCGGCGCGGGGTGCGCCTGCGCAGGACCGTCACCAACGACAGGTCGGCCCCGCGGATATCGTGATGACGCCCTGGCCAGCGGGGACGCGCCCGCCACGGCCCACGGACCCCCCCCCCCGGGGGCACCCGCTGCACCTCCCCGGGAGCCCCCCCACCCGCCGGCACCCACTGCCCCTGCCCCTCCCTCGCTGCCCCCCGCTTTCTGCTCCTGTCTCTCCTCCTTCCCGCTCCTCCCGGCCCTTTCCTTTCCCTTACGTCTTTCCTTCACTTGTTCTCTCTATGGCTATTTTTATCCTCTTTTTCTCGTTTGCTCTTTTCCTTTTCTTTTTTATCTTTTTCTCCTCTTCTCTTATTCCTTTCTTATTAGTCTCTTCTTATCTTTCCTCTTCTTCTCTTTCCTCTTCTCTTTCCTTCCCTCTCTTCCCTCTTTTCTTCCCTCTTTTCTTCCCTCTTCCCTCTTTTCTTCCCTCTTTTCTTCCCTCTTTTCTTCCCTCCTTTCTTCCCTCTTTTCTTCCCTCTTTTCTTCCCTCTTTTCTTCCCTCTTCCCTCTTTCCTTCCCTCTTTCCTTCCCTCTTTCCTTCCCTCTTTCCTTCCCTTTTTCCCTGCCCTTTCTTTCTTCCCTTTTTCCCTTCCACTTTTTCCTTCCCTGTTTTCTTTCCTTCTTTTTTCTTACCTTTTTTATTTTTCTCCTCCTTTCTTTTCCCCTTTTTTCCTCCTTTCCTTTTTCCCTCCTTTCCTTTTTTCGCTCCTTTCCCTTTTTCCCTCCTTTTCCCCTCCTTTCCTTTTTTTCTCTCTTTCCTTTTTTTCCCCTTCTTTCTCTCCTTTCCTTTTGTCCTCTCTCTTTTCCCTCCCCGGGGGCAGGCAGGTGTCCCCAGCCCCAGCAGAGGGGACAGTGCCAGCGGGGGCCGCAGCAGGAGCAGCACCAGGAGCTGGGGACCCTGTCCCCGTCCCCCCCTCCCCCAGCTGCCTGCTTGGGGCCAGCACAGCTCAGCCCCATTTTGGGTGTCAGAAGCAGCAGGGAGGGAACCGTGGGGGGAGCACATGTGAGAGGGTGGGGGGACAGGCACGACAGCCCCCTCCAACTTGGGGGAACACCGGGACGCAGCGGCTGAGGACGCTGAACCTCCTCTTTGCCCCCACCCCCCGGGAATCACTGGGGACACCCCCCCAGCCCCCCTAAACCCCCTCCCTCTCCCTCAGCACCCGCGGACCCCGCGGAGGGTCCTGCTGCGGGGGGTGGCTGGGGGCCAGGGGGTTTCACCCAGACCCCCCACCCCCAAAGCGAAGCAGCTGATTTCTGCCAGCGGCTGGAGGAAAGCACAACCCCCCCCAGCCCCCCCCGCTGTACATAGCCCACCCCACCTCCCCGCTGTCTGTTGCATCGCAGCCCCCCATTTCCCTCCCCCTTAGGAATAACGATTTAGTTCCCCCCCCACCCTCTTTCTCCTGCCCAGAACCGCTGATGCCAAGTGACAAATGTTTGGGTTTGGGGGGGGGGGGGGGGGTGGTCTCTTATTTTGTACAGAAAACAAAAATTCCTTGGAAAAGAAAAAAACCGACCTGTCTTTCGACTGAAGTAACTTTTCTGGTGCTGTTGTTAACTTGGTCCTTCTTTTTTTTTTTTTTTAATTTATTTCCCCTTGCTCCCGCCTCTGCCGCCGCTTCCCCCCTCCCCATCCCTCTGCCAGTTTTCTTTCTCTTTCTTTCATTCCTTCTTTTCTTTTAATTTTTTTTTTTTTTTTTTTTTGGTGGTAATTCCCCTCTTTCCCACCCGCACACCCCACCCCCCCTGATTTCCATAGTCACTGCTACAAGTAACGAATGCACTGTGAAGATTCCAGTATTAATAAAGGTTGTACTGTAATTAATAGCCTCGCCTGCGGTCCTATGGATGTGCTGGTACCCGGGGGTCACCCCAATAATGGGGGGCAGGTGGGAAGGTCCCATCACCCCTTTGGGGTGCCCATGTCTGGGGGGAGGGGGTGTGGGGGGGTGTTGTGGGGTACAGGGAGGGGTGAGACATCCCCAGGGTCAAGGTGATGGGCGACCCCCGGGATGCAGAAGAGCATCCCCCCCGCCCTTCCACATGAGGGGGGTGCACACACACCCCCCCCCTCCACCTCCACCCATCCCGGCAGCACCCGCGCTGCCACCACCTCCCGAACTACCGATTGCCAAACCTCGCCGGGGCGGCACAACCGGCTGCGGCGAGCGGTGGGGATGGAGGGGCTCGGCGTGGGCAGCGTCCTGCTGACCGGCTGCGACGGGGGGCTCGGCCTGGGGCTGCTGAAGGGCTTGCTGGAGCAACCCAGCCCCCCCCAGCACCTCTTCGCCGCTTGCCTGGACCCCCAGGGGAAGGTAGGGAGGATGCTGGGGCCGGGGGGGGGGGGGACAGACACAGGGTGGGGGTCAGCTCCAGGATGGGCTGGGAAATGCAGCGCCTGGAGGTGCCACCAGCTTTGTCGGGGGCTGAGCGCTGGGATTCTGCACCATGAACGGCGTGGAAAAAACACATATATTAATTTTTTTCTCCTCTTGGTATAAATAAGTGCATGGAAGGGGTGTCCGGGGGGGGGGGGGGGGGGGGGGGCTTGCTGGCAGCCCCCACACCGAGGGCATCGCTGCAGGGCGGGGGCTTTGAAGCTGCTGGGCTCAGCCAGATGCAAAGCAGCGACTTGCCTCGAATCTCTCCCACTGGGGCTTGTTGAAACCTGTCAGCTGTGGCACGTGGGGCTGCCCAGCTCCCACTCTGACGTGGCACAGGACCAAGCTCCCGGTGACATCCCCCCCCCCCCCCCCCGCACACACACTCACCCTGCCCCCCCCCTTTCTCCATTTAGGCTGTCAACGAGGTGGCTTTGGGCTGCCCCAACGTCGTGGTCCTGCCTCTAGGTAGGTGCCGGGGTGGGAAGGGGATGAATCCTCTCGGGATTTAGTGGCACCCGTGGGTGGCTCCGGGAAATGTCACCCAAGGGGGCAGGTCCCTCGGTTTGGCTCAAACCAGGTCACTGCCAGGACCAGGAGGATGCTCAGTGACCAGGAGCTGCCTCCCACCATGTCCTACCTACAGCATCTTGCCCAGAACACATTCCCCCCAACCCGTCCCCAAGCCCTCCCGTCCCCTTGCAGACGTGACAGACCCCAACAGCATCAAGGCGGCGGTCGGGAAGGTGCGGGAGGAGGTGGGAAGCGCCGGCCTCAACCTCCTGATCAACAACGCCGGCACCACGCGCCGCAGCACGCTGGCCACCGAGACGGCAGAGAACATGACCCTCGTCTACACCACCAACACCATCGGGCCCCTGCAGACAAGCCAGGTGAGGCCACAGGCTCCCCCTGCCCCAAATTCTGAGAGCGGGGAAGGGAGAGGATGGTGATGCTCGAGTGCCCGTCCCCCCACAGGCTTTCCTGCCCCTGCTGAAGGAGGCGGCCGAGGCCGAAGGGCAGCGTGGGATGAGCTGCAGCAGAGCTGCCATCGTCAACATCTCCAGCATCTTGGGCTCCATCGAGGCGGCGGAGGCTTGGGAGGAGAGGCAGGACGTCTGCTACCGCTGCAGCAAGGTACCACTGCCGGGAGACCAGGGAGGAACTTGGGGGGATTCCCCCCCACCCCCTCACCGCCAGCCGCAGCACTGCCAGCCCATGACGGTGGTGGTGGGGGGCTGTCCCCCCCAGGCTGCTCTGAACATGCTCACCAAGTGCCTGGCCCTGGAGTACGGGGGCAGCGGGATCCTCTGCGTGTCCGTGGACCCCGGCTGTGTGACACCTCCCTTGGGGCGGGGGACGGTGAGTGATGTGCATGGCCACCCTGCCTCGGCAAAGTCCCACGAGCCTGGGGGCATCCCTTCCCGGGGAAAACCCTTCCTGGGGACTTCTCTTCCATGGCATCCCTTCCTGGGACATCCCTGCCCAGGGACACCCCTTCCTGGGACATCCCTGCCCAGGGACACCCCTTCCTGGGACATCCCTGCCCAGGGACACCCCTTCCTGGGACATCTCTTCTCAGGGGGACCCACCCCTTTGCAGCCCCTCAGTCCCAGGGGAGCTTCACCACCGCAGCAAAGGGCCGGTTTTCCAGGTTCTCCCCCCAAGCAATCCACTTTCCTCCCTACTTTTTATTTCATTTCCCAGCCCAACCACGTGTCAGCAGAGGGCACCCCGGCCCCGCGTTCTGCTCCGGGGCAAGGGCTGCACCCAGGGTGCTGCCTTCTCAGCACCCCATGCACCCCGGGGCTGCAATCACCCCAAATTCAGCTTCTCTGACTGTGCCAAGGGCGGGCAGGTGAGGTAGGAGACGAGCAGCTTCTTGCAGCGTAGCTGGGTAGGGCTCACCCCCACGCTGGCTTGCGGAGGCAACAAATGAGTCACTTTTTTATTAGGAACCATAAAATTAACTTCCATCCTTATGGCATCCAAATTACGGACAATTAATTTGTTCAAAGCCACATCCCTTGGCTGCTGGAGCATCGTCAGCCTCTCCCAACCTGCCTGGCTGGAGGTGGCAGCTCACCATGCCCGGGGCCGGGGCTGGGGGTGCCAGGAGGGGGGTTTGGGCTCATTTTTTTCCCCCGTGCCGCAGGGCCCGGTGACGGTGGAGGAGAGTGTGCGGGGTGTCCTGCGGCTGCTGGCCCGGCTCTCGGCCACCAGCAACGGCACCTTCTGGGACTGGCGAGGGCAGAGCCTGCCCTGGTGAGAGCAGGGCCCAGCCACGGCGGCCGCTGGACTCAATAAAGATAATTAACTGCCATTACCAGGCTCACTCTGGTTCTGTGGGGTGAGAACAGGGATCCCCCCCACTTGGGAGGTGAGAGCTGGGGTGGCTCCCCTCCTCCTCTCCCCTCGGGGATGCCGAGTCGGGCAGCAGATGGAAGGATGCATCCCAGTACCAGGCTCTGCTGGGGCATCCCCTGGGGCTGAGGGGTTCCCCTGGGCATCCTCACGCTGCCCGAGGAGCAGGTCTGGATACAGCCCCACTCTGTGGCCATAAGCCACGTGGGTTGGTGGCCTGGGGGCATCCCAGACAGGCCCAAAACCACGGCCATGGGGCATCCTTACCGGGGCCCAGCTCTCACCCTGCTGAGCCTGACTCCTACAAAGCATTTGACACTGTCTCGTACGACCTCCTTGTCTCTAAATTGGAGAGACGTGGATTTGAGGGATGGACCACGCAGCGGATAAGGAATTGGCTGGGTGGTCGCACTCAAAGAGTTGCAGCCAACAGCTCGATGTCCAAGTGCAGAGCAGTGACGAGTGGCATTCCTCAGGGTTTAACATCTTTGTTGGTGACACGGATGGTGGGATCGATGCACCCTCAGCAAGTTCACTGACAGCACCGAGCTGTGTGGTGTGGGGACACGCGGGAGGGCAGGGGTGGCATCCAGAGGGACCTGGGCAGGCTGGAGAGGGGGGCTGTGTAAACCACATGGAGTTCAAGGCCAAGGGCAAGGTGTGCCCAGGGGTCGGGGCGATCCCCAGCACAAACCCAGGCTGGGCGAGGGGTGGCTGGAGAGCAGCCCCAAGGAGAGGGACTGGGGGGTGCTGGTGGGGGGAAAACTGCCCGTGAGGCAGCCCTGTGCGCTCACAGCCCAGAACCCACCCGTGCCCTGGGCTGCAGTTAGAGCAGGGGGGGCAGCAGGGCCAGGGAGGGGATTCTCCCCCTCTGCTCCGCTCTGGGGAGACCCCCCTGCAGTGCTGGGGCCAGCTCGGGGGCCCCCAACAGCAGAAGGACCCGGAGCTGCTCGAGCGGGGCCAGAGGAGGCCACGAAGATGCTGGGGGGCTGGAGCAGCTCCCCTGGGGGGCCGGGCTGAGAGAGTTGGGGGGGTTCAGCCTGGAGAAGAGAAGGCTCCGGGGAGCCCTTCGAGCGGCCTCCCAGGGCTTAAAGGGGGGACAGGAAAGGTGGGGAGGGACCCTTTATAGGGGGGGTAGGGATAGGATGAAGGGTGATGGTTTTGCACTGACAGAGGGCAGATTTAGATGAGATCTAAGGCAGAAATTCTTCCCTGTGTGGGTGGCGAGGCCCTGGCCCAGGGTGCCCAGAGCAGCTGTGGCTGTCCCCTCCCTGGAAGGGTTCAAGGCCAGGTTGGACGGGGCTGGGAGCCCCCTGGGCTGGGGGAAGGGGGCCCTGCCCGGGGCAGGGGGGTGGCACTGGGGGGGCTTTGAGGCTCCTCCCAGCCCAAACCAGTCTAGGATTCTATGAAAACCAGTCAGCCTTTCCGTGCCTGCCCCAGTGATGCTGATGGGCTTTTTTTTTCGGCTGGTTCAAGACCAGCAAAGGCTTTTCCTTTTCTGGCAGCTGGGGGGTTCACAGCAGGGGCATCTCCCAAGCCCTAGCACATCCCTAGGGATGTCTTTTGGGACCTCGGCATCTTGCCCTGAGCTGGTCCTCTCTGCATCCATCCTATCTCATGGTACATCACGAGACATTGCATGCAGGCTCCGATTCCTCATCACGTGAGTGCATTTCCATGATGGCTCTCAGTTGACATTTTTGAATCCGTCCCTCAAAAGAGGTACTGAGAAAAAAAAAAGGTCACAACATCTGAAGTGGGCACTTGGGCTGGAAACGTGGGGCTTTGGCAAGCCTTGAGCCCAGCCATTTGCTGCAGGGATGCTCTGGGAAGCCCAGCCAGGGTCATATTTGCTGGGACAGCTTCATTTTTCCCACGGTGGAAGAGCAGGGGGGACCGTTCCCACGCTTGCCGTGGGGGAGTGGGAGGTGGGAGCTCAGCCCGGGGGGGCGCAGGCAGCCCCAGGTGGGGCCCCGGACCACCCGGGGACTATTTGTCAAAGCCAGCAGGGATGGGCGAGGGGGTCCCTCAAATTAAAACCCTCATGGTTGGTGGGCTTTATACGAGCTCTGCGTGGGCTTTCTGTAAACACGAACCATCGCTAGGCATGAAGGGAGGAGGAAGAAGAAGACATTGCATCCGCACATGCTACAGTGCCCACAGCCTGACCTCACTCTCATAGACTTGTAAGCCTAAGCAGCCCGAAGCCAGGAATACACCAATTAAGGGCTCTAATAGCTGATTAAGGTAATTAATTAAGTTGGGAGGGGGGGAGGCAGCCGGCCAGCCCCCAGCCCCTCCGGCACGCCGCCCGCATCGCACCCGCCAAGCACAACAAACAAATCCAGATGTTTTCCTGCCAGGGAAGCGGCCGGGGCTGACGGAGGTGGCTCGGCAGGAGACAGCTCTGGGGGTCCCTACACTCCCCCACAAAGCCGAGGGAGGGGCCTGACACCCCAAAAGAGGAGGCGGTGGAGGCAGCTGGGGTTCTCTCTGCTGGTCCTTTATTTCGGGTAAGGTCGGAGGCCCCCGGGACCCGGCTGGAAGCTGAGTTGTGACGCTAGAGAATTAACGGGTGTTTAATGAAAGCTGAGGAAAAAATACAAACCGAGAGGAGCGGGGCGATGCCTTCACCCCCGCTGCGGGCAGGACAGGGCAGCGTGACCCCCCAGCAGCTGCCTGCCCGCGGGGGGGGCTGCACCCGAGCCCCCCCTGCCCGCACCCATGCAGAAGGTGCCTGGCATTTTGGACGGGGCTGACCCCGTGGCCATGCACAGTCCCGGTGGGGGTGGCGTTTGGTCCTGGAGGGGGGTGGGATTTGTCCCCCCACCCTCCTTTGCACTTTCCTTGGGGACCGCCCCCCCCCCCCCTCCAAGGGGAGGGCAGAGCAGAGGCAGCATCCCAGGCTCCAGGGCAAGGAGAAGGCGTCGAGTGAGGAGCCTTCTGCGGCGTTAGGTGGACTCCCACCGACCTGGGCAGAGGGGACAGACGTCAGCGCAGGGGACAGGGCCCCCCACGCGTGGCACCTCCGTTCCCCGAGGGGTGTGCGTGTGTCCCCCCACCCTGGCCCCCACTCACAGGGTGCCCCATAGAGCATCCGCATGACCTTGAGGCAGTTGTCCAGCAGCGCCTTGGGGCGGACGGGCTTCCTCCGGCTCTCGGCACCCACGCTGTAGACCAGCTTCACCAGGTCGGCCACCACATCCTCCACGTCTGTCTGCGGGGACAGGCCACCACGGTGTCACCGGGGTCCCCCGCTGCAAAAAAGCTGCACTTGCTGCATTGGCCGGGAATCGAACCCGGGCCTCCCGCGTGGCAGGCGAGAATTCTACCACTGAACCACCAATGCCAGATGTGGAGCAGCCCACGGCCCTGCCCCACGGCCCCGCACCCAGAGCAGCAGCAGCAGCAGCGGGGGCGGCGACAGGCACTGCCGGCTCTGAACCCCTCAAAAGAGAGGGGACCCCAACTGACACCTCTAATCACAGGGCTCCAGGCACAGCAGCACCCCTTCCTGCCACCCAGACACCCCCTAGCAAGGGGCCGTTGTCATTAGCCTTCAGAGTTAACATTATGATGAGAAGACCTTGAAGGGGCTGCAGAACTTGCCCCACAACACAGGACAACCCAGATACACTTTGGGTTCACCCTGCAGCGCCAGCTGTCACAGGCCACCCCCCACCCAGCACCCAAATGCAGCTGCCCCGGGGCGCAGCGGTGCCAGCAGAGGTAGGAGGGCACTGCCACTGGGAAAAGCGGGGAGGAATTTGGGGGTCCCCTTCTGCAGGTCTGCCCCTCCAGCTGTGGCAGCGCCACCACGTGATGGTGGTGGTGACCGTGCCATTTCCACACACACCCCGCCTCCACCTCCACCTCCTCCCAGCCCTGCTGGTTCAAAAAAAGGGGATTTTAGGCAAACAAAATTAACGTTGCATTGGCCGGGAATCGAACCCGGGCCTCCCGCGTGGCAGGCGAGAATTCTACCACTGAACCACCAATGCCAGATGTGGAGCAGCCCACGGCCCTGCCCCACGGCCCCGCACCCAGAGCAGCAGCAGCAGCAGCAGCAGCGGGGGCAGTGACAGGCACTGCCGGCTCTGAACCCCTCTAAAAAGAGGGGACCCCAACCGACACCTCTGATCACAGGGATCCAGGCACAGCAGCACCCCTTCCTGCCACCCAGACACCCCCCAGCAAGGGGCCATTGTCATTAGCCTTCAGAGTTAACACTATGATGAGAAGACCTTGAAGGGGCTGCAAAACCCACCCCACAGCACGGGACAACCTAGATACACTTTGGGTTCAACCTGCAGCGCCAGCTGTCACAGGCCACCCCCCACCCAGCACCCAAATGCAGCTGCCCCTGGGGTGCAGCAGTACTCCCCCCTGTCCCAAGCAGTCCCCATTGCCCTGGGCCAGGGAGCCTCGCTGCCACCCAGCCGGAGACAGTCAGTGCCACCAAAATCAGGGACCGCCACCACCACTAACCCAGTGTCCCCCACTGTCCCCGAGCCAGGGGCACTCCCTGCCACCGAGCCCCCAGGCAGCTCCCTGCCACAGACCCTCGGCAGTCACCTAGGGGTGCTGGCTCTGCCGACCAACAGTGGCACCCAGAGGGGTCTGTGCGCCCGCACAGGAGCCGCAGGGGACATTGGTGCCCAAGGGAGCACCCTGGGGACCCCCCCTGCCAAGATGGGCAACCCCGAGGTGCTCCCCCTGTGACAACGGGGTGCAAAAAGCTGCACTTGCTGCATTGGCCGGGAATCGAACCCGGGCCTCCCGCGTGGCAGGCGAGAATTCTACCACTGAACCACCAATGCCAGATGTGGAGCAGCCCACGGCCCTGCCCCACGGCCCCGCACCCAGAGCAGCAGCAGCAGCAGCGGGGGCGGCGACAGGCACTGCCGGCTCTGAACCCCTCAAAAGAGAGGGGACCCCAACTGACACCTCTAATCACAGGGCTCCAGGCACAGCAGCACCCCTTCCTGCCACCCAGACACCCCCTAGCAAGGGGCCGTTGTCATTAGCCTTCAGAGTTAACATTATGATGAGAAGACCTTGAAGGGGCTGCAGAACTTGCCCCACAACACAGGACAACCCAGATACACTTTGGGTTCACCCTGCAGCGCCAGCTGTCACAGGCCACCCCCCACCCAGCACCCAAATGCAGCTGCCCCGGGGCGCAGCGGTGCCAGCAGAGGTAGGAGGGCACTGCCACTGGGAAAAGCGGGGAGGAATTTGGGGGTCCCCTTCTGCAGGTCTGCCCCTCCAGCTGTGGCAGCGCCACCACGTGATGGTGGTGGTGACCGTGCCATTTCCACACACACCCCGCCTCCACCTCCACCTCCTCCCAGCCCTGCTGGTTCAAAAAAAGGGGATTTTAGGCAAACAAAATTAACGTTGCATTGGCCGGGAATCGAACCCGGGCCTCCCGCGTGGCAGGCGAGAATTCTACCACTGAACCACCAATGCCAGATGTGGAGCAGCCCACGGCCCTGCCCCACGGCCCCGCACCCAGAGCAGCAGCAGCAGCAGCAGCGGGGGCAGTGACAGGCACTGCCGGCTCTGAACCCCTCTAAAAAGAGGGGACCCCAACCGACACCTCTGATCACAGGGATCCAGGCACAGCAGCACCCCTTCCTGCCACCCAGACACCCCCCAGCAAGGGGCCATTGTCATTAGCCTTCAGAGTTAACACTATGATGAGAAGACCTTGAAGGGGCTGCAAAACCCACCCCACAGCACGGGACAACCTAGATACACTTTGGGTTCAACCTGCAGCGCCAGCTGTCACAGGCCACCCCCCACCCAGCACCCAAATGCAGCTGCCCCTGGGGTGCAGCAGTACTCCCCCCTGTCCCAAGCAGTCCCCATTGCCCTGGGCCAGGGAGCCTCGCTGCCACCCAGCCGGAGACAGTCAGTGCCACCAAAATCAGGGACCGCCACCACCACTAACCCAGTGTCCCCCACTGTCCCCGAGCCAGGGGCACTCCCTGCCACCGAGCCCCCAGGCAGCTCCCTGCCACAGACCCTCGGCAGTCACCTAGGGGTGCTGGCTCTGCCGACCAACAGTGGCACCCAGAGGGGTCTGTGCGCCCGCACAGGAGCCGCAGGGGACATTGGTGCCCAAGGGAGCACCCTGGGGACCCCCCCTGCCAAGATGGGCAACCCCGAGGTGCTCCCCCTGTGACAACGGGGTGCAAAAAGCTGCACTTGCTGCATTGGCCGGGAATCGAACCCGGGCCTCCCGCGTGGCAGGCGAGAATTCTACCACTGAACCACCAATGCCAGATGTGGAGCAGCCCACGGCCCTGCCCCACGGCCCCGCACCCAGAGCAGCAGCAGCAGCAGCGGGGGCGGCGACAGGCACTGCCGGCTCTGAACCCCTCAAAAGAGAGGGGACCCCAACTGACACCTCTAATCACAGGGCTCCAGGCACAGCAGCACCCCTTCCTGCCACCCAGACACCCCCTAGCAAGGGGCCGTTGTCATTAGCCTTCAGAGTTAACATTATGATGAGAAGACCTTGAAGGGGCTGCAGAACTTGCCCCACAACACAGGACAACCCAGATACACTTTGGGTTCACCCTGCAGCGCCAGCTGTCACAGGCCACCCCCCACCCAGCACCCAAATGCAGCTGCCCCTGGGGCGCAGCGGTGCCAGCAGAGGTAGGAGGGCACTGCCACTGGGAAAAGCGGGGAGGAATTTGGGGGTCCCCTTCTGCAGGTCTGCCCCTCCAGCTGTGGCAGCGCCACCACGTGATGGTGGTGGTGACCGTGCCATTTCCACACACACCCCCCCCTCCACCTCCACCTCCTCCCAGCCCTGCTGGTTCAAAAAAAGGGGATTTTAGGCAAACAAAATTGATGTTGCATTGGCCGGGAATCGAACCCGGGCCTCCCGCGTGGCAGGCGAGAATTCTACCACTGAACCACCAATGCCAGATGTGGAGCAGCCCACGGCCTTGCCCCACGGCCCTAGGTGCAACCCCCCACCCCCACGCCCCCACCCCCCATGCACACATCTGTGCCCGGGTCTCATGAGCACGCAGCACGCGTGTCTGTGGGCACACAGCTCCCCTGCGAGGGGGCTGTGTGTGGCCGTGGGGGGCCCCCGGGGTCTCCCCCACCTGCCGGTACTTGCTGTACTCCTTGCCCAGGGCGTCGAAGAGCTGGCACAGCTCCTGGGTGTATTTCCAGGACGGGTGCTTCTCCGGCAGCACCTCGCGGATCCGCAGCACCGCCTGGGAGCTGACGTGGAACCAGAGGTACCTCAGGGCTGCCTCCGACACCGTCCCGTTGCGCTGCAGGAGAGAGGGTGCCCTGGGTGAGACCCACACAAGCCCCCATGGGTCCACGGAGCGTCCCGGTCACAGGGTCGTCCCCTGCCGCCGGCTTACCAGGCGGGTGATGTTGGATGGCCTCAGCACCTCCTCGTACTGGACCTGGACTGTGTAGTTGATGGGGAAGTAGTGTTTCTGGAAAGGGAGAGAAGAGCGCAGGGGCTGGCGGTGGAGTGACACCCTGCCAGCCTCGGCGTGACACCGGGAAACCGATGGAAAAGCCCTTTGATGTGCTCAACCCCCCAGAGATGCACCAGCTCCGGGCACCACCCTGCACAAGTTGCCCCTGGTAAAAAAAAAAAAAACAAACACCCCCCCTCCAGCACCCGGTCGCTGTAAGGGCAGTGGGTGCTGCTTTCCCATGTTCCCCCCCCCCACCTCCAAGAGCAAACCAGGCCCTGCAATGGAGTGTGTCCCCCCTCCCACCCCCCACCCCCCCTTAAAACGGGGGGTTACCATGTACTGCAGGCGCATCTCGTACTGCAGCTTGTCCTGGAGCAGGCGGGTGAGCTCGCATTCGCCCGGCGCGGCAGCCTCCAGCCCCAGCACAGCCAGGACACCTGGGCAGCCGAAAGCCAGCGGCCTCAGCCCCGTGTGGGGACACCCCCCGGGGTGACCTCCGAGGCCATCCCACACCCCACACACACCCCCCCCCCTCCCAAATCTCCCCCTTCCCCAGGCTGTACTCACACAGGACGGCCGCGTAGCTCTGCTGCATGTTGAGGGTGGCCGTCGGCGGAGCCCCGGGCTGAGCCTACATGGCCAGGGCTCACCGGGAGCCTCCCGGGCAGCGGCGTGGGGACGAGGGATGGGTGCAGGCCCCGGGCGCTGGGCTGCTCTCCAGTAGCCCCGAGCTGTTGCCCCTTGCCATGGATGGGGGGTTAGCCCCCCTTCCCGGCCGTCCCCGCTGGCTTCTCCTCTCCAGCTGGCTGCGGGGAGGCAGCAGGTCCCGGGGCCATCACAGGGTGCCAGTAGGGATGCGCTGTGGGAAGGGGGTGCGGGACCCCCCCCCTCTGCTCTGCAAGAGGGGATCTGGGGGGGAGAGAGCCCTGGCTGCAGCCCCCCAGGGAGGGCAGCTGCTCCGAGCCCGGGGGGCTGCGGGATGGGGTGGCCCCAGGTGAGCCCCGGGTGGCCTCAGGGGGGCTGCGGGTGGCCGTGGAGCCGCTCGGGACAGGGCTGCCAGGGTTTCCCCCCCCGTGCCACCCCCAGGGGATTTCCAGGAGTAGGGGGCAGCCCAGCTCCGTTATCCCAGCAATGAGTTTGTCCGGCCTCAGCAGACTCTCAGCCAAGGAGCACTGGGGGATGGAGCTGGCCAGGCTGCCCCACGCTGGGTCCTCAGGCGGGGGCGGGGGGGGGGGGAATGTGTCATGTCCCCACACCCATGCTACGGGGGCTGTGTCACCTCCCCACGGCAGCACCCCAGGGGAAGGAGACCACAGGGCGTCCTTGTGCCGCGTCCTCCGCAGCTTGTCCCCAAGCAAAGGGGGGCGTGTCGTGTCCCCACGCGGTGCGGCACACACCGAAGGGGCCCCTCTTGCGTCCCCACACCGTGTCCCCTTGGAAAGGGGGGTGGGGGGGAGGGAGACCACGCCGTGTCCCAATGCCATGTCCCAGTGGAAGGCAGCCGCGACATGTCCCCGTGCCGTGTCTCACGCCGCGACCCCCACGCCATGCTCCCCCCACCCCGCGCGCCCACGCGAAGGGGCCTCCCCACCTTCCCTGCGTGAAGGGACCCGCGTGCCATGTCCCTCCGCCATGTCCCCCGCGCAAACGCGGCCGGGTCGTGTCCCCACACCATGTCTCCACGCGCGCGGGAGAGAGTCCGTGCCTTTTCCCCACGCGGGACCAGGCGTGACCAACCCCCCCCCCCCCCCCCCCCCCCCCAAGCCGCAACACGGTTCACTCGCCCGCTGCCCCCGCAGCACGCCCGCCCCCGGCGCGGATTTCCCCCCCGCCCCTTCCCGCTCCTCTCCCACTCCCCACGCGCGAAGCGCCCGCCGACCCACCTGGCCCCACGCGCGGGGCCGCCGGGCGCGGGACGCGTCTCCCCGCGGGCGGCGGTGGCGGGGCCGTGCCCGCGCTTCCCGGGAGGCGGGCGGGGGGCGGCGGCGCGGGGAGCGGGCGGGGCGGCTGCCGGGGGCCGGGCGGGGAGCGGGGACCGAGCGCCCGCCCCGCACGGCCCGGCCCGGCCCGGCTCGGGACCCGGCCGTCCCTGCCCTGCCGCGGGGGTGTCACGGGTGGGTGCCCCTGGGGGGGGGGCTCCGTTAGCCCGGGCTGGGTGTCCGCGCGGTAGGCAGCTAGCCCAGCCGGGTGTCCCCCGGGGTGCTCAGCGAACCCAGCTGGGTGCCCCGGGGTGCGCAGCTAGCCCAGGCTGGGTGTCCCCAGGGTGCTCAGTGAGGCCTCCGGGGCCCCTTCCTGCTCCTTGGGGTGTTTGGCTACCCAGTAAGGTGCTCCCCAGGTGCTCAGCTAACCCAGCTGGGTACCCCTGGGGTGCTCAGCTAGCCCAGATGGGTGCCCTGGGGTGCTCAGCGAGCCCTCCTGGGCCCCTTCCTGCTCCTTGGGGTGCGTGGCTACCCAGTAAAGTGCTCCCCAGGTGCTTGGCAGTCCCAGCTGGGTGTCGCTGGGCTGCTTGGATGACACAGCTGGGTGCCCCCCCCGGGGCGCTCGGGTACCCGCGCCACGTGCCCCCCTGCTCCCCAGGGTGCTGGGCCAGCCCCACAGCGTGCCCCCCAGGGCGCTCACCCCACCCAGCTGGGTGCCCCGCTAACCGAACCGCGCACCCTCCAGGCTCCCTGGGGTGCTCTGCTCTGCCAGCAGCGGCACCCCCAGGGCGCTGGGCTCCCCTGGCCCCGTGCGCCAGGGCACTCATGGGGCCGAGCACCCATGGGTGCACTTTGGGACACTCCAAGTGGGTGTCAGCCCCGTGCTGTGGGCAGGGGGGGGCTGTCCCAGAGCGATCCCGGAGGGGCTGGGGGATCCCAGGCTGTCTCCAAGCCAGCAGCGCTCCCACTCCCTCTGGTCCAAGCCCACGTTGTCTTCTCAGGATGTTTCGGGGCTGACCCCCCGCCAGAAGCAGGGGACAGGGGACACAGGACACCGTCCCCTCCTTCCTCCACCCCTCCCCTCCCGATGAGCCCCTTGGGAGAGCTGACCGCTTCTGTGCTCGGGGCTGCCGGGCGTCCAAGGGGTCAGGGAGAGAAACCGGCTATCAAAGAGGGGGTCAGCGCTCCCAGGGAAACGCGTGGGAAGGAATGCGGTTCTGCATGCGAGGAGAGCGCGTTGGGATTCCCCTGGCACCGAGTCAGGGCCACGGCCGCCCTCCTGCCAAGCTGGCCCCGGCCCCGGCACAGCCCTGGCTGCCCCCCGCCCCCGGCGCCGCGCCGGGGGCAAGATGCTCAGCCCCGAGCAGGGGTAAAAACCTGGTCCGGCTTCTCACCTAGGTGCCCGCAGGGATTTTGCCCGCAGCTGCTGCAGGCGGTAAGAGGGAAGCCATTTAATCGCATTCCCTGCCCACGTCGTCATGGGCTTGGCAGCCGGGATGGGGCGAGGAGGAGAAGGGGAAGCGCGGAGCTGCGCAGCGCGGCGCTGGAGGCGGTTTGCCCTCGGCTGCGCCGGGCTGGAAATCACCGCTGGGGCGAGCCCAAGGCAAACCACCCCCGGCCCCCCCGAGCTTTGCTCCCGTGTGTCAGCCCTCACCGGGAGGCTTGGGGGGGGAGGGGGGGGGCCCAGCTTGGAGCCACCTCCAAAGTAAAGCGGGGCTCAGAGCAGCCCCTCCGCTCCTCCCCTGGCACAGTTAATGCAGGCCCGGCTGAGGGAGCAGAACCTTGTGCTTGGAATCTGTTTGGGAACACCCTGAGCTCCCCCCACCCCGGGGTGTGATTTCACCCCTTTGGACTATCGACACCCCAAAGGCCAAGTTCCACCGGAGCTCCCCGGTACAGAGCAGGGATCACCCCCCTGGGAAGGGCAAGGGGAGCTCAGGGGGGTGGGCACCCCATATCCCTGACAAGTTCAGGTCACGCATTTAACAACCCCACCAAGTTCAGCTCACGTATTTAGTGTTCCCCTGAGGCAGCCGTCCCCAGGGGGGGTACGGGGAGGGCACCCAGAGCCCTTCAGCCCCAGGCAGAGAATGGGTGCGGCTGGCAGCCACAGCAGAGCCAAAGGGCACAGCCCTGGGTTCAGCTGCTGCCAGGGCAAGCCGGCAGCAACTGGGGGGAAGCGTGGAGAGGAGGGTGCAAAGGCCAGGGCAGGAGCAAAGGCCCCCACGCAGCACCCGCAGCGGAGGAGGAAGTTGGAGGACAGTGGGGGAGCGTGTCACTGGGCCTTCCCCCCTCCCCAGCTCCAGGCAGGGAATGCCACAGGAGAAGGAAGAGCTGCAGCTCCGCAGGCACCAACGCCGAAACCAAAGGCGAGACCGGGAAGCACCTGCTGTGTGGGTGAGCAGGCAGCGGGGAGAAGCCCCTTCCTCGAGGTGTCGCGGCAGCCCCCTGCCCCCCCCCAGAGCTGCAGGGCACAAGGAGCCTTGAGCCGCAGCCACGCCCTGGCAGGGCTGGAAAAACAGTAGCTGGGGGGAAAAGACCCTTCCCACCCCTCCTCTCTCCACATACCCCTGCTTTCTGTCCCAGAGCGGGATGCGCTGCCAGGCTCGGGGCCAGCAGGGAAGTGGGGGGCAGAGAGGGGCTTGTAGGGTTACGGCCCAGCTCCCGCATCTGTGTGGGGTTGGGGGGATGTGCACGTTTCTGCCCTCCCCCTCCACCCGTCCTGCTCCCAGTCCTGCTCCCACCGGGTCAGCAACAGCTGCTGCTGCTGCGAAGGAGAAGAGCCCCCGCGTCCGGCTAGTTAAAAAACAGGCTTTTATTCTGCATGTGCTGCTCACAGTCACAGCCTGGAGACACTGCTCCTGCCAAAGTTATTATGAAACAAATCAAGTCCCAGACTCAGGCCTCGCTCTTCCCCACCCCCAAGAGAGTCAACATTGTACAAAACTCTATTTACAGGGAAAACAGTCAGAAATGGCGAGTCCAAAAACCCCTTGCAATTCAGAAGAAAACGTTCAAGACAAGTGTGACAGTTACGCCCTCCAGACAGCCAGGCTTCCCAGCTGCTGCTCCCAGGGCTGGTGGATGCCCAGAGCTCCTGAAAGGAGCCTGGTAATCCAGAGTCGTGCCACAGCTCCTTCCCTTCACCCAAAAAGCCGGGAAATTGCAAACAAAAAACTGGGAAATCTCAAAAGGCTCAGGATGGATCAGCCCTACAGGGCTTTCTGCAAGGCCAGCACACCGTCAGACTCCCCCACCTTAACGGGGGGCCAAGGAGATGGGGCTGAGGAGCAGCCTGCTCCCTTCTCTGGGCACCTCCCAAAAGGAAATCTCTGTGGCAGGAAGCCAGAACGTCAGGAGCCTTCACATAAGCAGCAGGATGTGTTGGGAGACCTAATATCTGATACTGCATTTACTGGAGTCACATTACTTTGAAACACAAACCAAGAGGAGCAAACCAATATTTAAAAAGGGAAAAGAAGCACGCAGTCCTCTGCCCAACTGTGCTTGGAAGAGCGTCCGTAGGAGCCCAAGGAGCAGCTCTGCTCCTGCCAGCTGCTGCTCAGAAAGCGTAGCGTGTGCGGATGTCTTCCAGCTTCTTGGACACCTCAGGTGGGGTCCGGTCCAGCTCTTCGGCCACATTCTTCTGTTTGTTAGGTTCCATGGAGTTGAACTGCTCACACAGGTCCCCATCGATCACGTTCTGGAGGGGCAAGGAGGAGAGCGCTGAATCGACACAACACAGAGGCACTGAACCCTGCCTAAACAGGGAAAAATGGCAACAAACAGTTTGTTCCCAGGAGCTTCTTAATCCTGTCCTGGAAGCAAGACCATGCTCGATGACCTCATCTGCTGAATAGCAGCAGTTAGCATCAAATTAATTACTGGCCAGCTTGGTTAATGAAGGAGAAACCCCAAAAGCCTGGATGCAGCTGAAGAATCACACAAGGGAAGGGAAGATGGATCTGACTTGGGTCCAAGGCCTGTGTGGGGAAGGCTGGGGGAGGCTGCAGAAGATGACTGAAAGGCATCTTCAGTCAGATGCGAGACATCATTGAGATGGTGCATGCTGCAAATCAGCCTCAAGCTCCTCAAGAACAAGACCACCCCCTGCGCTTGGACAGCTTCAGCTGCTGGGATAGTTTTCTGACTGATACTACACATGTTACTCTGGTAGTAGTTACCACATAGTTACTCTGGTCCAGTACTCTCAACCCTTCTGGTCACAGCATTTAGTAGTTAACAGATTCACACACAGTTCCTCAAAAGCAGAAATGAGGCAGGAACAGCTGTTTCTTATGAGGTTTCCCTTTTTAATGGTGGTAGAAAAAGTATATCCCTCAGGCAACACCCAGTTTGACCTAGCCACGCACACAGCCACGTAATGCTGCTTCTCCTGATGGAAAAGGGAGATGCTGCAGCAAGCAGAGAAGCGCAGCAGCAGCACCTCTGGGCTCGTGTCTCAAGACCAACCCTCAGAAAGCTCATTACAAGGGTTAATAAACCAAAACAGACGCAGTGTTAAGTGCCAAGTACCGCGCTCCTCACAGAGTGCTGTTCAAGAGCTAGTCCCTGCCACGGTCACCACACGAGCTGTGGTTGGCGTTGCCTCAGCCTTCCCCCCTGAACAGCAAGTGTGATTTGCTTCGGCCAGGCCTCGAAGCAGTCCTGTCTCCCAGAGCAAGTCCCTGCGCCCCCACGACAGGCTGATCCCAAGTACTCAGACCTACCTTCACCGGGAAGTAGTAGGAGCGGAAACTGAGATGGTCTCGTCCACAGAGGGGAGGGTGCTCAGACCTTAAGTGCATTTCCACATGCTGGAAGAAGTCGTGATCCTGGGGAGATTAAGAATTGGTAAGACAACAGTTGCTACACATGAACGTCACCGGCAAGGCAGGGTGACACCCATCAGCCAGGTGCTCCTGTGCTGGCTGAAACGCTGCCCTTACCAGGTTCTGCTAGAGCATCCCTGCTCACAGCAGCCAAGGTCACCGTTACCCCTTCACCTCCCAAGAGCTCCTCTGGAGCACAAAGAGATTTAGAACAGCAGTGCAACAAGAAAAGCTC